ATTTATTTATTTACTTACTTACTTACTTACTTACTTATTTATTTATTACTAATATTCTTCTTTTAGATCATTGTACCAGTCGCTTTTACCAGTGTGCTTATAGCTTTTGTCAGAATTGAGGGTGAACCTCTGTCCAAGTCTGGAAAACTAAAACAGTTTTCTCACAAGGAACCCTTTAATTTTTTTACACTATCCATCTTTGATCCAGTCTCAAGGTCTCTTCCGATGAAAACCATCCCTACTGCATGATGCTGCCACCACCGTGCTTTATTCTGGGCATGGTGTTTTTGCTGGGACATTTACCTTTATGGCCTAAAAATGTTTATCTTAGTGTACAATACTCTGATGAGAGGAGCCATATGCTCATAGAGTTTCCAAAAGCCTGGCCTTTTCATTTTTCCCGTAACCTTTATTTAATATTTTTCATTTCAGTGTCCTAGAATGTTTTTTTTTTATATAGCTTATGTGCAATCAAAATCCAGCTCACTGGAATTCCGGCTTCTTTGGCATTACTTGATCTCTGTGTTGCCTCCAGGATCCTCTTTAGTCAGGTTTATTAAGTGCACATATTCAGTCTACTTTGTTCTGATCTATTTAACAGTGATTTGTCAATATTTCAGATGTTTTCAGATATTTATACATAAGAAACCTGATTTTTTTTTGGTTCTCCACTTCTCTGTCGTTCTCTTTGTCCCAGACCTGTTTGGATGGTGTCTTGATCTTCATGGTCTCATGATTGCTTGATGGTATCTCTTGCTTGTGGATGTTGGGGGCTCTGAGATCTTTCAGAACAGCTGTATATGTACTGAAATAAATTGAGAGTCATTTTACTCACAGGTAAACCTTCAAGCTTTAGCACTCACAGCCGAGCAAATCATCTGGAAGTTTGAAGCCATTGATTTACATGTTGTCTCTCATGCAGAGGGAAAGAAAATTGGTTTATCTCTGTTTCTTTCAGGTGGTTTCAATATGGATCTTTTAAAATAAAATAACTGCATCAATAAAAAGTAAAGAATAACATGAATTTCTTGCAAACCCTCCTTTTATCCTACAATAACTGCTCACTTACTCTTCAGTCCAGTATCTCCTGTATTATGTTCATTGACTCAGTGAAATTTCATTTCTAATAAATCTCGTTTAGTCCTTCACCCTAGAATTGTAAACAATGTAAACACTCTAGCTGATTCCAGTTCAATGAAAGCGATGATTATGATGCAAATATGTCGGCCATAAAGGTTTTGAAGCTCATATTGTGTATGTACGGTTAAATAGTCACACTGATCATAGGCACCAAAGCTTCAGCTATCAAAGCTTTAAACGCCCTGATACTTTGGCAATGTAATTAATCAATTATAGGCAATATCTCTTAAATTCTGAACATTTAAGATAATAATAGATTGACATTCATCTTTAGAACCCAACTGAGTGTGGATGTAGCATGTCAGAGTGCTTCCAGGCTTGTAGAGTTTCTGTGTATTAGGGAAATCTTGTTAACCTGCTGGAGTTTGAGACGTCTGGATTACTGCCTGTCACTAGGTTTTTAAAAATAATCTCAACAGTTCAAGCAATGGAAGAGTATTAGATGGCCTCTTTGCAGAAGCCAAACCCCAAACAAGCAATTCAAGCAATGCGACGAAGAAAAAAAACACAAAAAAAGCTGGGAACTTTGATGGGCTGTGCTGCTTTGCACACGCAGCTCAGCAGCTCGCTGTTATTGTTCACCTGCTATCCGATTAAGGCCACGTTTTGGCCCTGAGCCTCGGGGACAGCTTTGCCTTGTTGGCCTCTTGGTGCTCTGCAGCTGCTGCAGATCCACACAGCAAAACCTGTTTCATGCTGGATTTGTCTTTTTTGACACGTTGTACAGACTCAGTCTAAAGGATGGAAAACATGTAAATGGGACACTAAACACACCAACCAACTCCCGGCTCATTACTATTGAAAGGGGACAGTAATAAAACACATGTAAATATATATATATATATATATATATGTAAACATACATGTACATCTACACACACTCACAAATACAAATATATGCATTTGGAAAGGAAACCACATGAAAAATTGCTTCATTGGCTCTGCTGGTTCAGGCAGACGATTACAAAATGGTTCAAAATTGAAAAATATTATGAACAAATTGGAAATGTTAAAGCATTGGTAGCCATTATAGAAGATTTAACATGAAAAATCGTGGACAAAATTTGGAAACGAGCTAAACCAAATGCAGTGCAATGTAAAAACCTTATAGCTGGCTTACAGAACGTGGTATGTTTTAAGTGTTCAAAATCATAGACATCCCTCTGGTTCAGTGTTACTAGGGAAAATGTAAAACACTTTTGGATGTTACTAAAGAAGGGTAAAATTAATTGTCTATTGGATAAAATGAGCCTTTGTTGACCATATGATAAACTGCAGACTTGACTGTCATGAGATAAACTTTACTTTACAACTCATGAACAGTATGCTACCTGGTCCACTACCAGTCCAAGAAAGTGTGAAAACTACCATAAAAACTCAATCTCTGAATCTAGAAAATGTAACTTTTTGTTGTTTTATTTACTTATCTTACTGGAAAAAAAATGTGTAACAACATTTGCTCAAACAGACAAAAATAACAGCATAAATAACTGTTCTTTGATCAAAATTGTACAGTAAGAATGGTATATTGCAGGCAGTTTTGCCATGCAAAACCAAAACTACCCCTAATTTCAGTAACTTTGTTGCTACAGGCTTAAAACAAACTTTTATAAAGGTTTTCAACATTGGTTGAGTTTAAACACTCTCTGTAATGACTGGGATAATAATAAGAATTTCCACCCCCACTTCTTTCCTAACACTAGAAACGCGTTTGAAAGATTAAAGTTTAGCAGATTGTTCTGTCTCCTATGCAAACATGTTTCTGTGTGTAAGAAAAACCGGACTCTGTGAAAAAACAGGGTTTAAGATGGAGCCTTGCCTTGTAATAGGAAAGTCAACATGCTTTCATGAGATCCATGTTAGCTGGGGGGCTGGGTCCAGGTTCTGAGAATGAGAGTGAAACTGGCCAGATGAGTTGTTGATTTTCTTCTACATCAGTGTTTAACTTCTAATGTGCTGTAAGCAGCTCTCTTTTTGAGCCTCTCTCAAGACAAAACAACATTTGTACACGGCTGATTCAATTAAAGTGGATCCTCGGACCGGTATAGAACAAACTGACTTGAAATCTCCAGGTTTGCGGCCCAAAAAAATAAATTCCAGACCTTGAAATCTTTCAATAGTTCATATATTTGCAACTTCAGTTTTAATCGGTGGGAACCGCTCGACACAAAAGGTGAACCCAGGTAACAAAAGACTGTAGGAACTGAGTGTAATGTGTCACAATAAGCGAAATGCTGCGCTGCTTTAAGCGAGGGAGCATTAGCTGGCTGAAATAGGTACTCAAGTCTAAGCCCGGATTATCTTGCAGCTCCGTATATCGCCAAGGGATTTCTCTTTAACCTTATGCCTGGGGTGTTAGGCAGAAGGGGGTGGAGCAGCAAAGGCAGTCCGATGAGACAAATTGGGCACTTCTCTCGCCCCAAATTATTCCATAGTTCATTTTCAAATTTCAGCTGATACGAGCAGGAACAAATGGAAGACAAATGGCTTCTTTTTTTTGTGACATTGCAATCACCTGATCTGTTCTTAGTGTGCTTGAATATGATAATGCGAAATTATCCACTTGGGTCTTTTAGTACATTGGAAAGTGAAAGCTTGTTCTGAATTATGATGTGCTTGGTGTTTCCATTCAGGAAGATTGTCCATAAATCCCGATTGCTGCAGAATGGAGAACTGGTTTCCAGGACAGGCAAATGTATTTGTATAGAATATTTTGTCTACATGACAATTTGAATTTCCTTACATTATAGGATTTTTAAAAAACACATTAAAAGTAAAAACAAAAAATAAAGATAAGAATAAAATAAAACAAAGAATAAGGGGATTTTCAATAAAAGTGGCTGAAGCAACTAAAGTGAAGTGGAACTGGTGTCAATTTTACAGGTTATGAACAACCGTTGTTGACTTTTTGACAGTACGATTTTGTTGTTTTCTTTTGATAGTTGCACAACAATGACAGCAAAGGCTGTTTTATTCCCTATCAAATCCATAATCTTCCCCTCATACAAACCTATATATGTTCGAATCCATCCAATTATCTATTCGCTACAATGGATAATTTCAAAGAGAGTGGCCAGGGTGGACATTTTGGGTCACTAAACAACAACTGTACTTCAAACAATTCAATTGAATCCAATTTTATTTATCCCAAACAGAGCAGGTCTGACCCAACTCTGGAGTTATATACAGAAGCCCAACAGGTCAGTCACTGGGAAATTTTGTGCTGTGTGATGAGCTTCTACTTATTTATCTTCAACACAATTTTGAAATGTGTGTAATACATTACAAATATGGATCTAAGAGGGATCCATATTAGTGATGCATATTAGTATAGTGATCTGTTTAGCCTCTTTTTTTTTTTTTAGCGTGTGAGAGCTGGACATGTTGATGGCAGGTGCAGCCATGACCGGGACTCCTCCCCCATTTGTCTGATCTGGTACCTGCCAGCTCAGTCTGCACTGATCTCATGCAACAGAGCTTCTGGGACTAATTATGGACAGCCATCAGGTTTTTTTTTTGGTGATTGTACCCTAAAAAAAATCAACTCTATTGGAAGTGTTTCTTTTTTTTTTCTGGATCAAATACAATAACAGTACAGTTACGTTTGGAAAGATGGGATTACACTGGAGAAATCAGAGAATTGCCGCTTTGATTGGCTTGAAATACTCCGAGTGAGAAAGCTTCAAACAGGTGAGTTATTGACTGGATACACCCTCTGCATGACTTAGTCCTTTAGACAATCCTCACTTTTTGTTTTCATATGTCTTGTGAAGTAAAATGACAACAGGAACAGTAAGAGTAAACCAAATAGCAACACTTCTTTTCAGACGGAACCTTCAGTGATACTTTATCAGAAACTAAACTGTTTTATTTGGAGTCTTTCAGCATAAAAATACATTTGAATTGAATTTGAATTCAGCAAAGTAGCACAAATGTTCACATTTCCCCCCTAAATAAGCATATGCTAGATATGTTAGAGGGATACATTTGTATGAAATAACTCTCATATAGCCCACAAAAAGGCTTGATCAAATTCATCAAATTCAATTTTAAAAAACTTTACCATGGTAAACCAAAACCTCAAAGACTGAACATGCATGCTAGGAAATGCAGTGGGCATGCTGAGATATCATATATCTAGCAAAAATATAAGAATATAAGAAATATATTCATGCACAAAGAGAGTGGTGGATTTGTTTGGTCTGTGTTTGTATTCTGTATTTTAATTGATTTCTATTTCAGCTTCAAATTTTCTATTTAATACAGCACTGAGCTGGCTGATTATTGTTCCCAGATAAAAGCTTTCCATTCTGTTATTCTAGCTATGCATACGGTGGTTGTAATGATCAGGCAATTAGCTCATTCCGTGCACATTTGTTTTGACATTACGACATCAAAAACGACAAATACCAGTTTGGAATGTTAATTGGTAAGAGAACACAATCAGAAAGAGCTGATCGAAATGCAAAACAAATCTGGAAAGCTGGATCACAGAACAAGAAGTGAAAGAGCCAGTAGTTCCAGACTGAAAAAAAATAGATACCTAAACAAAGACCTAAAACCTATGACAATCTCATCCAACCAATACAGTTCAAGTAACGATGGGCAACAGCAAAACTAAAAGTCACCAAAAGTGCTTTGTGGCTTGGAGACGATGCTCATATTAAGCACACGCACACACACCTGCTTGCCCTTTCGTCACCCTTTGAACACTTAGATTCTTGGCACTTCTCTTAGGGTGATTGCATATAGTGGGGGTTGCTCAAATCCCCTGGTATTAGCTCTAATCTGCGTGCGCGCACGTGTCGAGACCAGTGGTTCTCCGCAGAGATCAGTGAGTCGACGTTTGCCAGGTGACAAAAATATCCGTCTGAAGCATAGGGGAAAAAAAAAAAAAGGAGCAAAGTTTTAGATATTTCACCAGAAATTAAAAGCAGTGAATATCGGTGGCATGGCGTGAACGTCCCCGAGTCAGTTGTTTTTAATGAGACTTTCACTGCCCTTACACGGCCATGTAAAGTTCTTCTTCTTCTTTAAGCACTCTCCTAATAGACTTAACCTGCTATAAACACCCCTGAACATACCAGCTACAGTCGACCTGTAAGCCATAGCTTATTTTAAAAGCCTGTTGATGGTAGGAATAAAGACGGCACTGATCTTGTTTAGTTTCTGAGGACATAAGAAGGGGTGTATTTTTAGCCGCCGCTCTTGCAAACTCAGAGAATGGCGGCGTTCCTCTGTTTCGTGATGCTCGATGTCTGGCCTGGTATCACTTTCATTGCCGTACCGTGTGTATGTGTGTGTGTGTGTGTGTGTGTGCTCCAGGCTAGCTGAGCCGGAATCGCCGAGATGGCGAAAGTCTGCAGTGAAATCTCCTTTCCAGCAGGACGGTCCCACAACAGAACCCAGGACGACCTGGCTGTCATTGAAAATGGGGGAAGCAGGTCTGAAATAACCTCCACTAATGTTGAAAATGTCCAATCACTGATGTTAAATATTTATAATCTTCTATTATCCATCCAAGGACACGACTATTTAAAAAAAAAAGTGCCTTTTTTGTGCCTAAATTTGTCATTCGGAGCTTCTCTGTAGAGTTATGTGAGCATCGTTGTCCCCTACTTGCTCTCTTTCAGGACTCAGCCTCGTTGGGAAGCGAGTTCTGAGCAAGCTCTGTCCTCAGAGTCCCTCAGAGACTCGGCCCCACGTGCCAGCGCGTTGGCCAGGTGAATACATGTCTGCTGGAATGCTTTAAAGTTCATGAATCAGCTGCTGTGTCTACGATTGGTGGAGAAAAACTGTAAATCGGGAGTAATTCAGTACTTTTTTGGGGAGTTTCTGTGACTGAATGAACCCAAAAATCAGTTTAACAAAAAAAAAATATTACCAAATATACTGTATATATATATGTATAAAATCATATCTGTACCAACCATAAACTACTTGCCTCTTGACCGAAGTATTTTCTTACATAAACATGTGTGATTTTCAGATTTGAATATACAATCCACATCTGGTTAAACACAGTAAACTGAAATGATGAATTACTTTTAGCCTAGATGGATGTCACCCTCTGCTTCTGTACTTCCTGCTGACCCTCTAGACTGTATTCCTTCTTCCTCTTGCTGCGGAACTGGGCGTCTCACAGAAGGAACCCCGAGGAAGAGAGGCAGGACTCTTTTCTCGAGCAGTTCAGAGGTCTCAAGCTCAAAGAGGCAGCCAGCGGGGAGAGCAATGGAGAGTCGTTGGGCCATAACGACACAATCCGAAAGAGAAAGTAAGCATCTTATGGCAGTGCCATTAGAGGCTGAAACCTAAACTTTTGATTCCTTGGTCATAACTGGTTTAGAAATCTTTAAACATATATCTGGGTATATATGGGTCAGCCATTTGATACAAAAGCCTGGATGTGAAGGGGCCTATGGATGGCAAAATAAAGTCACCAAAGTCCTTTAAAGGAATCTTCCTATTGTTAACCACCTCACTTCACGTTAAGGAACTTTAGAGGTGAAGCTCCCTCCAAAAAAGTAAATAGATTAATAAAATAGTTGAGATTTGAATAAATTTACCTTGCTAGTGTATCATGTCAAAACCCAAAACCTCACCTAACGGCTCAAACCTTCCGATGCAGACGGCCATAAAAAATAAAAAACGTTAACCTTTTTTCTCACTAAGTGAATGACAACCTCTCTTTTGGTCCAGTATACAAAAAAGCCTCTCTTTGTTCCTTTCCAAAGTCTTGCCAATAAGTGGCCTCTGGCTACTTACAACATGAATAACTGCAACAACACAGATGAGTAAGTTTTTGCAAATAGATTCTTAGTTTTTTTTTTTTTTAATTAATGGGTATTAGTCATTTGTTGTGCTTGGTGCTATTGGCATCTTTGTAGTTAGCAGTGTAACGTCCCCACCCAACCCAACCATCGAAATCAAGTTTTCCCAATCTCCTTTTACTCCTCCCACATTATAGACACGTATAAAAAATAAGAAAAATCTCCCTTTGGTTGAGATTTTCTTTGATGCAAGTTGTGATGTGGGTCGTACGCTTTCAAGTCTGGATGTATTTCTGCAGCTGCTTGTAGGTTGTGGAGATGAAAATAACAAAAAAAAACAACAAAACTGTAGAGTTATGCCATCTGCTGGACGAGCGTATGACCTGCACCTGTCCTTCCAACAAAAGCCCCCCCCCTTTAGTAGCCCGATAGTCCTCCAACAGTCCTAACAGTACACCCGGATCCCCTTTTATTTTGTCAAAACTAAACGTCTGGTCCATAGAAAAAAGGAGGACAAAAAAGACGAGATTAAGAAAGATGAGAAAAAGGAGGAGAAAAAAGACGAGAAGGAGGGGGATAAGAAGGAGGAGGAAAAGAAGGACGAAAAGAAGGACGAAAAGAAGGAGGAGAAAAAGGAGGAGAAGAAGGATGAAAAGAAAGACGAGAAGAAGGATGATAAGAAAGATGATAAAAAGAAAGAGGAGCCCCCGTAAGTATTCCCGTTGGGTCTGCTGCGACTGGAAAATGACGAGGAAATACATTCCGGGCACTTGTTAATGGATGAGAACATTTGCAACTAACAAATGTTGTTTTCAGAAAAGAAATCTGGATTATGGATCCAGCCGCGGACCAGTACTACAAATGGCTGACCGTGATCGCCGGCCCAGTATTTTATAACCTCATCATGATTGTAACCAGGTATGTCCCTAGTCTAACGCCGACCTTTTGAATTGTTAGGGGTTCTGACACGTTTCCCTTCTCACCGTGTTCCAGGGCCTGTTTCAACGAACTTCAAGACACGTACACGAAACTCTGGTTAGTCTTGGACTACACCTCAGATGTGATCTATTACGCCGACACGTTTGTCCGAGCAAGAACAGGTGGGAATATTCGACATGTTTAAAGAAAACATTTAGTTTCTCGGGATTTTGTGCCACTGACTAATTTTTTTGGGTTTGTTTTTTAACCCTCAGGTTACCTGGAACAAGGCCTGCTGGTCAAAGATTCCAAAAAACTGCGAGATAAATACAGAACAACGCCTCAGTTCAAATATGACATGATTTCAATGATACCCACCGATCTGCTGTTTCTGCAATACGGATACAACAACCCGGAGTTTCGAATGAACCGCCTGTGCAAAATTTCGAGGCTCTTTGAGTTCTTTGAGCGGACGGAAACCAGAACCAGCTTCCCCAACATGTTTCGCATCAGCAACCTCGTACTTTACATCCTCATCATTATCCACTGGAATGCCTGTGTGTTCTTTGCTATTTCGAAAACTATCGGCTTTGGGACGGACACTTGGGTATATCCCAACATCAGCCACCCAGAGCATGGCCGCTTGGCAAGAAAGTACATCTACTCCCTGTACTGGTCAACACTAACCCTCACCACTATTGGAGAAACCCCTCCACCAGTTAGGGATATTGAATATCTCTTTGTCATTGCGGACTTTCTTACCGGTGTGCTGATTTTTGCTAGTATTGTCGGTAACGTCGGTGCCATGATTTCCAACATGAACGCCTCCCGTGCTGAGTTTCAGGCAAAGATCGACTCCATAAAGCAGTACATGCAGTTCCGAAAGGTCACCAAAGACCTGGAGGCCAGGGTCATCAAGTGGTTCGACTACCTGTGGACGGAGAAGAAGACCTGTGACGAGAAGGAGGTTTTGAAACACCTCCCCGACAAGCTCAAGGCCGAGATCGCCATCAACGTCCATTTGGACACCCTGAAGAAAGTCAGGATTTTCCAGGACTGCGAAGCCGGTCTGCTGATTGAACTGGTGCTCAAGCTGCAGCCGCAAGTGTTCAGTCCTGGAGACTACATCTGTAAGAAGGGGGATATCGGCAGGGAGATGTACATCATCAAGGAAGGAAAGCTAGCGGTGGTGGCCGACGACGGAGTCACTCAGTTCGTGGTGCTGAGCGACGGCGCGTACTTTGGGGAAATCAGTATCTTGGGTATCAAAGGAAGCAAAGCCGGGAACAGGCGAACGGCCAACATCAGGAGCGTGGGTTACTCGGATCTCTTCGCCTTGTCCAAGGACGACTTGATGGAGGCGCTCACCGAGTACCCGGACGCCAAGAAGGCCCTGGAAGAGAAGGGCAAAGCCATCCTGATGAAGGACAACCTGATAGACGAGGCGGTGGCCAACGCCGGCGCCGACCCCAAAGACCTGGAAGAGAAGATCGTCAAACTGCAGGGCAACCTGGACGGCATGCAGACCAAATTCGCGCAACTCATGGCGGAGTTCACGTCCACCCAGACGAGGATGAAGCAAAGGGTCACCGAGATGGAGGCCAAAGTGAAATCCATGAAGCCGGAGGACCTCTCCGAAGTGGTGGCTGATAAAGATAAAAAAGTCCAGTAACGTAACGCTTACCAGAGAACTTCAAAGTGACATTCCTTTATTTCGTGTAAATGCCCCGATTTACGACTATTTATACACAATGTTTATTATCAACTTAATGTGTCAAATTGTGTACAGTGTATGCAGTGAATATGTTTTTATGTAAACTGACTGACAGTTTCATCTCATCACGGAAGAACCGGAGTATTTTGAGCAGGAGCACTTGTGAATGCCAAAGAAATGGCTTTTCATAGCCTTAGAGTAATGACAATGTTCTTTTTGTTTTGTTTTTCTTCCTGGTCTGTACTCATATCATCCCAGAAAATGCATTGATCTGTGAAGTATGAAGCACATTTCTTATACTGCAATGCAAATGCAATTTCCATTGCCAGTTATCTTCAGCATACATTAACAGTTGTAATTCTTCAATGTGAATATGTATTAAAAGATTCATATAAGAAACTATATGCGTCTACATAAGCACAGCATATATGTATACAATTATTATCTAAATATTCATTTTTAACTATTTGAAAATTATGTTGAAATCTTAAGAATTCTCCATCTCGGACATATTGTATTTAAAGAACCACTGATAAAAAACATAGATTTCTCTCATTGTTACAGACCATTTTATTGATCTTTGAATCAGTCATATTTGGAGTTTCTAGAAAAACGTAGCCTCCAAACTATAAAGCTCATTCTTTCATGTTCACTGCATTCAAAATTTGTTTGCTTTAAGATTTTGATGAAAAAAGACATTAACATCCAAAGTTCCAAATACCTGTGAAGAAATGTGAGTGTGGGGCTGTGTTGGTTAAAGATTTTCCATGTTGCCTGAGTCCAGTTTTACAGTTTATAGCTCAAATGTAAGTATTGAAAACAAAGTCACCGGATTTTTAAAAGTTGTCTTTATTCACTTTGCATAAGAGTAGCTCACATTTTCAATGTTTTCACATTATCTGCACATTGTTTATACCTGAGATATTTGGCCAAATAACATAATTCCCGTGACTTTTCCTCATATAGGCATTGCACATTTGGCAACTGCAATCATAAGAGTGAAAATCAGTGACTTTATTGCAAAGAAAAAAAGAGAAGACACCCTTCCCATGTAAAAGTCAGAAATCCTGCAACCTATTGCAAACAAACTAACCGATTTCACGACAAACTGTATTGATGAAACATCTAATACAAGAGGCACGGCACAAAGGTTTGAACCATAAAACAAACTGAACGCTGCTTTTACCCACGCGCGCAAAATGAGCTCGTCGGGCTCAGCAGTGAGAAGAAAACGTCACTTAAACGAGCTACGGTTAGCTGTAGCCGGAGAGAGCACCATTATGCCCGGTGTGGACTGAATACCGCTACAGTTTTTTTTTTTTTTTTACAGAAGACTTCAAAATCATGATAGGTCAAACACAATTCATACAAGTGCTGCGTTATAAGTGCACTTTCACAGCCGTGCTGATCCAATACTGCTAATGTCTGCTCAGAACCGAATGACTGAGCGGCTGTTTACACTTTGGGCTGTCTAACGTCTACAAAGTTTAATGAAAGTGGGCCTTAGCACAGAGTTCGACGAGGCACAGGGTTATTGCAGCACTCCTTTCATGACATCTAACGATATATTTTTGTATTACTCCCTTCCCCCCCCCCCCCCCCTTTAAAATACTGCCCGAACGCTTTCTTTTCGACATCTTTCACAGCATTCCAAACCCTTTGGCGTACGTGATTGCCTTGAGGAGCCTCTCTTTGAGTTTTTCCTTGCAGGAGTACTCGGGGAGCAGCAGCGCGTTGAAGCAGGTGTGGGAGGTCGGTAGCCTGCGTGACCGGAGACAGACGGGGATCAATTTAAACCGAGGAAGTGAAAACAACTGAAACATATCGGTGATGCTAGATTGTCTGGTAAACTCCGCTTGATCCAATCTGTGCCTTTTTTAACTGAACTGGGAAGATAAACTTCCAAAGACCTTTCCAAGGTTTGACATCAAAAAGGAAGATGGCTTCCATAATAATAATGCAAAAAGAACTGAAATTGCTACAGGAATAAACCATCTACTTGCACTAATGCCAGTGTATGTTTCTTCAAATTAATCTTATTCTTAGTGCTGTCTAATAAAAATAAAATAAAAATTAGAAATTTTAACATTTTTAAAAATTGCACAAATATTTGGTTATTAATGTATCACTGTTACAGTTGAGCCACGTAAATGTGGAATTCCTACCATCAGCTGAAACCTGACATAATGCCCGGTATGCATTCTGAGCCACTCGGAGAACATCTAAATGTTTGGACTGTGCTGTACCTGTCCGTGTCGGAGCCGTTCTTTGCGATGATCATCTTCAATTTCCCCAGACCGCCAACCGGCGCCCTGTCTGTTCCGGTGGTGAACTGGAGGAACAGTCTTTTCTGCTCATCTCCAAAAGCGTGAACGGTTTCCCAGAAGTCTCTGTGGCCAGGGAAGAATAGAAAAACTCTCAGTGTCTCACAGCTCAAAGCAAAAATGGACATAACTGGCCAGACGCTGCTAGCTAATGAGTGAATACCACAGTGGATACATCCACATCCTATATGCAGTTTAGAAACTTACTTGATAACTTGGCTGTCTTTGCTATATCCCCCATCATACTCTGTTGCCTTTTCTAGTGCCTCGAAGTCCAGTTTCTGTAAACGTGAAAATAGATTGTTCTGAAGTAATGGTCACGACTGGGTGAGAATGCTCTAAATATAGAGATCTTTTCTCACTCTGCTTCCACAGATCAGGAGCTCCACCTCATCGGGTCGAAACAAATACTTCAGCGGGGACTCGTTTGTGACCATTTGGAAGCCTTTTTTGAAGGCTTTGAATTGCCTCTCCACGCTTCTGTTCAGGATGTAATCGACGTACAACTCCACAAACTCCTGTGAATTGCAGACACAAAAGTTGGAAATATAGTCAAGGGAAGTGCTCGTGCTCGTGCACGTGGCAGCCGGTAATGTTCCTGTTTTCGGTTGTGACAGGACAATTTAATTTTGAAAGAGAGAGAAGTGAATCAGTTCGGTTCTCACTTCTTTATAGACACTGTTTACCTCACTGTTACGTTTTTATTGTATCATAAACAATCAAAACGTGTGATTATTAAGGGGGAAATATGTACAAAGAATAAGCCAAAATCTTAGAGGAACACTAGCATACACAGGGAAAAAGCTGGAGCTGAATTTGAATATGGTGTAAAAGCAAAGACAAACTACTTTTCTTGGCAACCGTAGTAAGACCCAAACAAAGACTGATTCAGTCTGTGGCCATTCTACTTGTCCTGGTCACTATCAATCCCTTAGAGGGAGGTATGTTTAAAAAAAAAATTAAAAGGCATTTTTAATCGTGGCGGCAGTAAGGGGGGGGGATTCTTTTGCCATTACGGTGCACCAAGATCAATTACACGTCGCGGAAACTCTGGTAAAGTGTTAACATTTGCAATTTGTCAGCATGCCTTTAGCGAATCAACAGCCGAGGTATTAGCTAGCGAGAAAGTAAGGACACCCTTCAGAATTCACATCAGTTTCTGACGTTTGTTTGAGAAAAATCTTGGCCTACTCTTCTTTACAACATGGCTTAATTAATTGCGGTTAATGGGACCAGCATACCATCATAAATTCTAATCTAGGCTGAGATATGAACTGTTACGCAACTTATCATAAACAAGGGTTAGAGGGGGTAAGTCAAGGATGAATATTTTAAGCTATCCAGCAACTGGTCTGAATTTCCACTGGAACATAAAGAGGAGCTCATGGTTCTCTCAATGAGTGCAAACTGCAAGCCCACACCATCATCCCTCCACCACCGTGCTGGTTTGTGAAAAGTATTAGAACTTGGACGTTGGACTTTAACATTCTAGCTTCCTCGGCTCTCTTTAAATCATCCATTTTTGCTTATACAGCGAATGTGCATGTTATGAGTGTCGCATCAGCCACCATTTGCTGAAATTAAACAGATTTCGCACATCTCACCCCTCTGTTTTCCTCGGTAACAGGGATTTTTTCTCCTTGCTCCTTCAGGTCATATAAAACGGGGTTTCCGAAAAGGTCCATCTGGGATATTTGGAAGGTGAGCATCATGTCCTCTTCCACTTTGCCCGAATGTTCAAGCAATCCCTTCAGACTTTGGTAAAGCATCTGAAAAGAAGAAGCAATTACATCAAAACAGCTTCTTCTGATTCTAATCAGTGCACATTTGTAGTTCCAACCAAGCTTATGTTTTTTTCCCCTACTTTAATCAAGAAATGCTAATCGATAGTGCAATCTATAGGCTTCAGGGGAAGGTTACTGTACTGGGTGTGAATCCGACAGGTCACGGTAGGTTCCTTTTTTCCCCATGAGCTTCTTGTAGACCACCATGGGGAAATGAACGTCCAGGATGCAGTTGTTATAGATTGCGAGCCCCAAGACGATTCCAATCAGCGTGTACTGCGCCTCGTTCTCCAGCGAGGACGAATTGAACCAGAAAAGTTTTGTGTCGTCATCGTAGGTGAACATTCCTGTTCGGGAACAGGAATTGAGAGAGTTGGAAGCAGGTAGCACACATCTGCTTAGAAAATATTCAAATGAGTAGATTTTGGGGGGAAAAAATGATTGTGTGGAGAAAAAAAATGATTGTGACTTATTTGCATTATAGAACCTAATATACAGTACTATAAAATAAAAATAAAAAAGATTATTAAATAGAACTATACGACCCATATATATACGCGAATTGGGATATTTGCTTATTCTCCTATGAATTTCTAACAATAAAATCTTAAATGCCCTTTCAAGGTTTACTTCTATCCACAGAACCTTGAAAAGAATTCAAAAAATTAAGTGCACCAACTGAAATTTTAAACCCATTGTGAACCTCGAAATAAATACATTACTTCCTTTGTACAGAAGATTTTTTATATGAAACCTGACAATATTGCTCAGTCTAAAAGCCTACATTAAGAGCAAAAAAATAAATAAATAAAATAAGAACTTTCACATGACCCTCGAAAAAAACTTAATTTCAGTTGAATAACTTCTACAAACATTTTGTGCTGGAAATAAACTAGTAGACTGGATCACTTTTTTCCTCCTTTCTATATACATAGGCCATCTTTTTCAGGCTAAGCTAAATATGTACTGACATGTTTGGTTTTTCTTATAAGCACTGTCAGCAAAAGTGCAATACGCAAATTTCACAAGCGAATTCCCACAATTTTTCTTATTATTATTTTGTTATAATGGAAGGTGGAGATACACGTAATGCAGAGATTCACGTTCTAGATGACGTTCTCTACGCCTCACCGATGTCTGGATTGAAAATTTCCTCCAAAACCAACTGGAAGAACTCCTTTGAAACCCCTCCTTCGTCCACACCTTGCTCGCCCTCGAACTCGACAAAGAGCTGCTTTTTCAGGTCCGACGGGTTCTCCATGGAAATCATCTCCAGCTGCAACACACAGAGGATGGAGGTATCTTGAGCAAACGCAAAAAAACCCCAACGGAGCGGCTTCGCAGCGAAAGTGGACCTACCCTGACCAGGGCGTCATCGATAATGTGGTCTCTGCGTACTTTGAGCTTGAGATAGGGATTGGGTTGTTGGCCCTGGACCATACTGTAGAGAGCCGTCAGGCGTCGCTCGCTGTACATTCTGATCCTGTTATCGTAGTAGAGCCCTTGGTTCTTAGTGATGATATTGAGAATGAAGGGGCAGCTCTGGAAGGAAAACTTGGTTTCCGCGTTGACTTTGAAGAAGGTGAAGTCTTTGTCCATCTCAACCACCTCGTTCACCGATTCATTTAAGAAATCCTCGTAGGGAATGAGGGGCCGTATGCTGTCTATGGGACGGATACCCAGCTCTTTCTCCAAAGGGTCAACTCGCGGGCCTTTCCTGTAGAGCCGCTCCTCGCCGAGCAGCTCGTGGAGGGTCAGTTCGTCCGACTCGGACTCCTCCTCGTCTTCCTCGTTATGCTCCACGTCCGCCTCGCCTCCCAGGAGGCTGGCGTAGAAGACCACTTTCAAGCACTGGGTGGCGGCCACCACCGTTTCGTCGTCGTTCACCAGGTTCTCCGCGTCGTACTCGTTGCTAACCACCGTGAAAGTAATGAGCTGCTGGAAAGTCTCCATCATGCGCCTGATCTGGGGGAGCTCGTACGTGGACCAGAGCTTGGACAACCGAGCGAGCGCCGCCACGGGCAGCTTGCTCATTGCCTTGCAGATCTGTGGTAGTGCCACTTCAAGGTACTCGGGGCTGTGGAGGTTACTGTTCTCCATCACTATAATGAAGATATTCAGGTAGTCTGGGTTAGTTTCATACACATTAAGATACTCCAGATCAAGTTCCACATTTGGAGTGAGGTAAATGAGCGAATTCACAAGTGCTGCCTCCACCTGGTCGATAGACAGGAGTCTGTCGTAAACCCTACGAACTCCGGCGATATCTACCATCACCTCACTGGAGTCCTGCATTGCGTTAGAAGCCTCCTCTGGCAAATCAGGAGAGGGGGCGCCCTTCTTCTCTGAGGTTTGCTCGCTCTGTTTGTCTTTATCTGTCGGTTTGAGAGAATCTGGGCTCGCGGCGGCGCTTGGTTCATCCTTCCTAAAACTCTTCATCAGGGCGTCCGCGTTGGAGAAAATCCGGCCGATGACGCGTACGAAAACCGAGTATTCCCCTCGCTCCTCACAGAAATGTAGGATCCGGTTTACAAATTGCTCTGTGAGGTAATGAACGTCTGCAACAAGAAAGGCAGGAAACTCAAGCACCGGTGAAAATGACATTAAATGCGTCCCAAAAAACCCCCGAAAACCCCAAACCAGTGTGTTCTGTGGTACCTGAGAAATCCTCAACGCTCATCTCTCGATCCATCTGAGGCTTTCCGTCGGGACTGGATTTGATGGAGGGGTAGTAATCACAGAGTTTGGCGTTAACCTTGAACAGCTCGAGTGCTTTGGCGGCTGCAGCATTGCTATCAAGAGGTTGGGAGTCGCAACACGATGCGCAAAACTCATTCTTGCAGTTGCCATTTCCACAGCCCTCAGTTAACTGCCGAAAGTAGCGCTCGATTAGTTTCTTTGCAGTCGCTCTGTTCCTGCACAAGATTTTGAAACAGGAAGTCAGACCGGCCTTAAAGACACAGGCGCGTTCCAGCAATGCTGATAGGGAAATTTTCTCCGTACAGAACACGGCATCCAACATGCAAAAATACATATGCAAAGAGATAATGGGCATTAGAAACAAAGGAGACAAAAAGGAAACAAAATGAAAAATGAACAAAAATACTAATTAAGTAACAGCAAAAAGAGAAAAACTTACATTCGGCTGGATTCAGATGCCTGTCTGCAGGCCTCCAGGACAGTCCTCTGAAAAAGACGTTTAACTTTAGGATGCGGTCTTATTTTCTGCAGGTGCTCTGTTTATTACGGTTTATAAGATGGTATTTCAAAAGATATACAAACTAACTTTTAACTAACTAACTAAAATAACTTCTAAACATCAAACATAGGTTAAGGAAAAGTGGTTATTGATTCTACATTTCAATTTTCAACCTTTAGAAAGTTTCCGCTGATGATATATATATTTTATATATTAAAATATATATTAATATACATATTAAACAAATATTTCCAGAACACTAAAGCCTTGCTTCTGCCAATAAGCATACATAGTCCGCCTACATAGACTGTCAGTTGAAGAGTCTTACGACTTTAACACATTCCCCAGAACATCAAGAAAGGGGGATGATTTAAATACAAATTGGGGTCAAATTAATCAGCCATCCAGATTTCTTTAAAATGAAAGTGACACTGTACACTCTAAAATATCTGTCGAAGAAAAGGACATGGGTACCGAAAAGGTTTGCCAGTAAAATGATTATGTTTTTAAAGTGATGTAAACCCTTTAGGGTTGCACATCTTAAGACTTGTTTACAGTAAACCAGGGAGTAAAATTAGTCTGTTAAATACTTCCTCCCTCGGTGTTGTCAATCACAGATATCCTTTTAAAATGTGCAAAATAGAATGGAAACATTACAAAGTGGTAAAATCTTTAGTGTTATGCCTTTATGTTCTAAAATTAATATGGATATCCAATGGAGGTTTATAAATAAATTACACAATATCAAGAGTTTTGTTTTCTCCAACAATAACTGTCAAATTTTTAAAATCCCTGTGTTTTTCTTACAAATCTTACAACAGCTTTAAAAAGAGGAAGAAACAAATCCAAACAACCACTTGAATTAAATAATAGCCCACGTTCTCGTGAGGAAGGATTCTCTGCTAACTGTCTAAAAGCGAGCTCGATAAAGTCACGTTCACAACAACTAAACAGGCGAAGAAGAAGAATAGTAGTGCCAAATCTCTTCGCTCGCTCGGAGGTTTCCGTACAAACCTGTGATTTGAAAGATCGCTGCGTGCGCCTGTCAGTGACACTGCAAAAAAAACACAAATCGTTTCAGTCTGACAGCTGCGGGGACACTCGGTTCTCTCGGGCTTTCTGTCGCTCCGTCTCTAAAAAAAAAGGGAAGAAGAAGAAGAACACACACCGACTTCAACTTATATCTTTTTTTTTCAACAAACGCTGATTCATGTTCGGGCTCGGCAGGGCGAGGAAGAGGAACATACTGTTTAGCTTTTAGGTCTGAGTCAAAACACCTTCTTCTACCATCTTGTAAACAAGAGCGTGATATATCCCGGCATGCAGCGCGGGGCTGTCAAACGTCATGTACCCCGTTTTCCACCTCCGCACGCGCGGCCCTCAGAGTCACAGTGGCCGAGGCTATTATTACTTTGCCCCCTGGAAAAGTCTTTCTTCTCTCGTGTATTTGTCTGAAAACGCAACTGCACGGCCAAACAGACTACAAGTTATTCCATTTGATCATTTGTAAAGAGATATTACAAAAGTTTGGTCAGATATTTTATTGATATAGATACAATAAGCTATCATAATAAGTCAAATGATTTGAATTCAGTTCAAGTGGAATGTTGTCTCTTGCTGACATTTTCTTGAAAAGAGGAAAGTTCCCGGTCCCCCCCAGAGACTCCAACCAGGAACCCTGTTGCTGTGAGGCGGCGGCACTAACCGCCACACCACCAAACCACTCCAGCTCACACTTCAAGCTTGCAAAATGAGATAACCTAAATAATTTATGACTATTTAAGACTATGAGGACATGAATGAGGGGATGACAAAAACTGTGACACCAGCTAGGGGATACCCTCTAATAAATTCAAATACCAGTTAATGATTACAATAATGTCATATGTACCAAAAACAGAGAGATGGGTGAGGAGAGGCGTGCCATTAGAGATCCCCCAGCAGCCCAGACCTTTAACAGGGTAAGATATGTAGTATGGCAGGGGTATCAAACTCAATTGCATAGGGGAACAAAACTCAAAGCACACTTAATATCGCGGGCTGAACAGTATAAACATTTATTGAATAGACTCAATTCTTTTTTTTTTAACCATTAATATGAATAAAAAAACACGATATCATTCCAAAATAAATACATTTCAACAGACTTAAATGAGCTTAACTTATATTTTGCTCTGCATGAAAAAAATATCTTGTCAATAGTATATACAGTACATTCAAAATCTGTACACGCTGGAAAAATCTGAATATATAAATAAAAAATTTAATTTAAAGTAAAAGTTAAATCACAACAAATCACAACATTACATTTTATTGTCCTATTTAGTCAAAGCCTGATACTTGGTATCTTTTCTTTGCAACAAGTTAGTTTGGGGTTAGGCTTGTGTTGTGGAGCTTTTCATGATCAATGTAGGGTCACCCGAGTAATCTTTAACTGTTACCTGTAGCAGAAAGGGAAAAACAGGCCTCCTTCAAAACCCATAAAAAGAAGAACAACCAAGAAGTTGTAACTGGTATTTACTGAGATACATTTGATACAATACATGATTAGAATATCAAACACACGAAATGTTGACACATTTGTGGAATATATAATTAACCAGCACTTTGAAACAAAGTACAGAAACAAAAGCATTAGATAGCCACACGTAGCGACAAAGAGCTGAAAAAAGCTTGTTTTGATGGGGAGAATGACAGAGCTGAGCTCCTGTGGGCTCTTGCGGTCCACGCTGATGGACTGGGGACTGCTCCAATCCAGGTGCTGTGGGGGTCGGCAGGTAGAAATCTTACGTGACAGCAAGATATGGAAAGAAATGCAAGAAACTGTGAAACCGGTAGAGAGGGCAGGTTGAAAAGATGCTGGGAATTGTCTGTTAGCAGAGTGGGAGGATGGCTCAGAATCAGAGATCTTAGAGGAACAGAGTTTTGGGGGGGGGGGGGGGGCACTGGATTGAGCTAATATGGGACCTGAGTTTAAATCTACATATACAGCTACATATGTCCTTCAGCAGCCTGAAGCAATTTTTTTTTAAATTCCTTTCCGCTTTTTGTCTTGCATAGCAGCAGTCTTCTCATTGGTTCCCCATGCGTCCATCTGGATGCTGTAACCCATGGACGCAATAACTCTTTTGAAAATGTGAACATTTATAGAAAACCAGAGCTTGAAATGTTTAATTTACAAACACTGCTGACACTCAGAAATGCTGGTTTAGTCACGTTTGAGTTTAATCTTGAGGAGGACGATGGTGGATTCAGCTGGACCGCCCCCAGGCCGCACCTGCTTGAATCATGTTTGGAGCCTCTCTGTGTAAAGTTAACACGCTCTTCCTGTCCCTAAGTAGAGTCTTTCCCATGTGCCTACTTGTGAATTTGTGAGTTAAAAAAAATAAATAAATAAATAAAAATAAGGTACATCCTGGCCATATGGCCACATTTTCTGACTCTCACCCTGTGAGACCCCTGGACTCCAAGCTCCTGTGACCCGTGTCCCCAAATGAGATAAAGAAGAAATGGAGTTTTGTCTGGAACTGAACATTTGAAAGGACAGACAGTAATTCTGCACTGAAACCACCAGGTCGATGGAACTTTGAACACCTCCTTCATTAAACCATGGGTGGAGAAGGAAGACCTTCAGAGTGAATGTGATTTGCAAAATAGGCATTTACACCATGAAAACGAAAACCACTACAAATGCATATCGAAAGCACAACTTGTATTTCGAAAGAGAATTAAAAGGAATTTTTGAGCTTATGGAAAAAATATTGTATAGAGGCTTATCGAGGAAGGCTCAAAGCTGTAGCTGCTGCCAAAATCTCCTCAATAAAGTATCGAATTAATGACTAAACCTTTTTGTTAGATTTCACTTTACTATTTTATATGGTTGTGCCAAGACTTTTAAAGTCAGTGGTGTAATATTGTCCTTGTAAATTACCGAGAGTGAAATAAAATGGAAAAAGAAAAAAGGTAAATAGCATGGTCAAAGAAAAAAAGACAAAAATGGCCTCCATTTCCACTAAAGTAAAGGAGGCCAGGTTCCTATTAAAGCGACTGCAAGTGATTTTGCAGTAATAGTGCGTCAATTTGACTGAAAAGAAACCAATAGTGATCCAAGTGGCAGCGTGGACTGTCGGAATACCGAGAATCATTCCGGCCGGCTGTGTTCCCGGACGTTAAAAAAAACCTCCCTCCTTCATAACCTCCAGATCATATTCATAAACAATACATCACACCTGCCACGCGGCGCAGGTAGTGAGAAGTGGCCGCCGTCTCGCTCCGCCACGGAGCCTCGGTAAATTATGTATCATCTACTCGCCGCGCGGTGCTCCGACGGCGCGGGGATGTTTGTTATTCTGTCGGCGTTCCAGCCACATATCAAGCTTTACACTTCGCTGTGACATTTGTTTTCAGCGCCCATCGGTTCTCCCCGTGAGAAGCCTCCGTTTTAAACCGGCGAGGGTACAAAAGGTCAAAATTGAGTAGATGCTTACAAGGCTGGCCTTAAAGGCTCTTTATATATATGTATAGTACGTTTATCTGAAGCTGTTCTAAGTTATGGGGCTGCTTTTGGACATCTGTTTATATGTGGGGTTTTGGAAAAAGAAAAACAACCCCTATTAAATGTAGAAAGACGAAGGACATGGTGATCTGCTTTGTCCTTCTGCCTTTCTGCCTGTAAAATTTTACACGCCTGTAAAACAAGACTGCAATAATCCTGGTGAACACAGGGTGGCGCCGTCACCCCACGAGGCGTTTAGCACCTGCACCATAAGCCCCGCCACGTTTGTCTGTCTCCCTTTCGTTTAATCATCACTACATCTGAGTAGTGATGAAAAGGGTTTTTACCGTTTTCGGGAACGCCTCATTTCGCTTTGGGGTTTCCGATAAAGCTGCGAAAAAAAATCAGTCAAGCCTTCGAGAAAAGCTCCAAAAAGGCCATCAAGCACTCGCTTCTCAACGAAAAAACGACCAGTCTAGACTAGACAAACGCAACTGCTGCAGATTAAAAAACTTCTTATGACTAAACAACCCCAAACAGAAGGTTTCTGAGCAAGTTGGTTTTCATTCGGTTTTCATCCGACACACAGTAGAGGTTCTTTGGAAAAAATAGCATGATCGGGGCCTTTTATGGGACACATTTGCTCTTTCCAACGTGAATTGAGCCAGTTCCCATCAGTTGCCATCCTTCCTCCTCCAGCGAGGCCTCAATCACACCCAGCCGGTCGGTGTGCTTCAGTAAAGGACGGTGAAGGTTTGGTGTAGGACACGGTTGTAGCGTGGAGTAGAGGAGCACTTTATCACCGCCGTTAAGTGATTCCTGGACCGGTGCCAGGCGGTGAGCGGAGACAGGGGGGGTCACTGAGACCGAGCTAATGTCTCCCGCGGTCAGGAGACGTCTCGATACCCCCGGCGTCCCGGCCAAACTCGACTTTTGGCCGAACGCGAAGGTGGAGGTTTGGGGTCAAACGGCTACGGCCTGCTACGTTTACGAGGCAAAAATGTAGATGCCCCGTTTGGCTCTTAGCTCGCCGGCTTTAGTGGAGACATTTTAATGCCTCTAATGATGGATGAGCAGACCGTCAATCTAGCCATTCAGGATGGATAAAAGGAATAATGGCAGGACGTTATTCCTTTTAATGCCTGGACAGGGTGCGTAAATAATCGTCGGTTCTCTGATGACGAATCCTAGATAATCCCATAGCTTCTTATCAGGCAACCCAACCATCTGACGCTTCTATTGAGTTCTTCACAATATCGGCCGGAGAAACTCACTAAAAGAACCACAGTTTGGTAGATGTCGCACAGTCAGTGGCTTTTCAACCGATTCTATATCGGTTTAAAAATGTAGTCGGTCCTTTAGATTCTAGTTATTATCGTAACATAACTACGTTATGTATCTTGATCCGGCTTCCTCTCAGAGCCCGCTGTCAGGTGAACCGAGGACCCCTTGGATACCCCCGTAGGCGTTTTCTTTGTGCGATCTGCTGTGTGCCTATTCCTGTAGTTTCTGCCAGCTGCTTTCTTTTCGTCGGTGGGAAGTTCGAGCCAAAACCTGGAAGAAGGCTTTGTCTGAGCCACTCCTACACGCTGGAACAGATTTGACGCACCGACTGCAAGACGGGATAGCTCACACTCAGAAAAAAATAAGCCTTTATCTTTATCTATATCTAAATATGACCATATCAGTCCAGTGCTCAGAAAATAGACTTTAAAACAGATCTGCTTGTGTACAAGTCTCTTCATGGTCAAGCACCAAAGTACATTTCGGATATGTTAAAGCCGTATGAACCAGCTCGGACTCTGAGAGCCTCGAGTTCTGGTCTCCTGCTGGTGCCCAGAGTCAGAACTAAACAAGGAGAGGCTTCATTTAAGGTTCATGCTCCTTAAATCTGGAACAGTCTGTCAGAGTTGAGGCCTGTCTCACCTCTTCTGGAAGTGTCTAAGTCCAGGCTGAAAACGGTTCTAATATGGAAAATATGGAAACTGAAAGCATTTTATCTACACTCTTCACTTTTGATATAATTCATTTTGTTGATTCAGTTTATTTACCTTTATGTTATGCCTTTAAACTCTTTGTGAAACACTTTAAAATGCCCCGCACACGAAATGTGCTGTACAAATAAACTTGCCTTGCCCTTTATCTGTTATTTGGAATCGAAAGCTATGCGGTGAGTGAACAAAACTGCCGGGGAGATGCCGAAAATCTTTTGAAAACAACGGTTCCCACAGCTCACAGATCTCTTTTTATAAACTTCACCGAATCCCGTTATAACAAGGCAACTTGGGGAAACTGCAAATATTCCGATTTGGAATCAGCCGTTCATAAGAGAGGTCAAGTCGCCCCGACCCCCCTCGTGTAAAATTTTGATGAAACACCATCTCGCCTGTGGTAGAATCACTATCCGATCCGCCTTTGGACTGTAGGTCATCCGAAGAGCAATTACGGAAAATGAGAGAAGCCTGTCAGGAATCCCTCATTTCAGAGGACGGTCTGCTTAATTCTGGCATCGATAACGCACGTGCAGCTTAATGGCTCTTGTGCGCAGAGGACAGATTCACCACACGGAACGACGCACGAAGAGGAAAAAAAAAAAAAAGCAACTGATCAATTTGACTGCTTTAACGCTGGAGTCCCAGAAGAGATGGAGAGAACTGCAGAGCCAGGGACAGAGGAGTCATCATTATCTCCGTCTCTGGGTGAGGAACCCGCTCCCGTAAAGTGCAGCAGTGGCCAGTAATCTCAGGCAGAAGAAAGCTGACTGCGTACAACCCCCCCACCCCCCCCAACCTCCCCCCACCTCCCTCCCCCGACCACAGTTTGTTTGAAAAGCAAACAAACTCGGAGGGGGCTGAAGGGTCACGTTGTGTGTATGTGCAAAAAAGTCCGCTCTGTCGTGAGATGCGTCAGCCTGCCGATGCTAAATCCTTTTTTTTTTTACTTATATACCCCCCCACAAAAAAGATTGGAAGCTTTAAAGCTTTTATTTAGGTGTGTCTTGCGTCACTGGTGAAATATCTGCGTACCGAAAATGTGCGTTTTGGCCACAGGGCCCATTGTTTGAGAAACAAGGCTCTTTGTGGGTGGGGTGGTGGGTGATTGTGATGGTGGTGGTTGTGGTGATGGTGGGGGGGTTTCTGTTCTTCAAACCCCTCCTCTCCGCTTCTACTGTGGGAACTTGGGCCTAGAGAGGGTTTTAGATGAGATCTTTTATGAGGTAACCTCTGACCTCGGGCTGTGTATTCAAGAATCGAGTCGAGCAATAAACAGGAAAAAAAAAAGAAAAGAAAAAATCCACCTGTGGAAATGAGCGACATTAACAGATTTAAAATGACCACGGCTTGAGTGTGTGTTTTTTGTTTGTTTGTTTGTGCTGCTGTAAATTCAACCGTATACCACAAGAGATCGTTCGGTGTTCAGCTGGATGCGTTTGGCTCTTCTCTCCTGGTCCTGAGGCGTCAGATGAAACGGTGAAAAGGAAAACCCCTAACCCCCGAGGGAGAGACTGTTCTTCCTCCTTAAAACAACCCCTTGGGTATTTTAGCTTGAGGTATTTTTGTTTGAAATGCTCATTATCTGCGTTTCCCCTTGAGATCGGCTTTTTTTTTTTTTTTTTTTAAATAACTTTGAGCTTATTGTTTTGGTTTTACTGGTGAGGCATTACACTCTGGGAGAGACGCCTTTGGGAAGGAAGATAAGAATCCGCACACAGAGTTAGTGGATGGCTCAAAAGCAGGAAAAGCGTCCTGTTTGGAGCAAAAAATCAATCTAAAACTGAAATGTTTTCATATCCACGAAGACAATCCATCACAAAGTGTTCTAATTGAATCCGGTTCGAGTACGTTGCGTCTCTAAGTGACGTCCAATAGTGGCACAATCCAAGTTAGTTCAAAGAACCTTCAGCCAAGAAAAACTTTACATGAAGAAAAGGCATTCTTGGAGCCTCAGTGCACGTATGTGGGCTCTCTGGGTCGGCAGCTTCCTCCCACTTTCTAAAAACACATGCAATATTAGTTAATTGGAGACTCCCCCCCCCTCTCCCTCCCTCCTTCCCTCTCCCCGTGACCCTGTCTTGGTATAAACATTCTTGGAAGATGAATTCCTCAAAGCATATATGGCCTGTGCCAGTTTTTCCTTAGTTGATGATAACAGATAGAACCTGGTTTGGGTTTTTCTTCTTTTTTTTTAGGAACAAATTTATCAGAAGTCTCTGCCTGGTACCAGATATCAACCTTCAATGTGAGGAATTGACCTGTTTAGCTCAGTTTGTGTGACTGCTGTTTATATTTAAGAATAAATAGGGTCTTAGGTACTATTTCTGTGAAAAAAGGTGTTTAAAGTTCGGTAAGGAGCATCGTATTATCAGTTCCATCAGAAGTGCTAAACTATGCAAAATAATCAGAGGATAACAGCCCCTTGAGAATATATTCTTAACAAATTTTTAGAGCAACATGGAATTTCAAATATCTAATGTTTTCTGGAATGCAAAAGAATATTTAAAATGTCAAAAGCACAGACAGAAAGAGAAAAGTATGTAATCCATGTTAGACAACAAAATTAGGAAAGAAAAACTTTATTACATCGTTACTAAATTTTTGTTCACATATAGCCTTGTTCAAGAAATGTTTATTTACTCAAAAGGAGAGAGACCTGATATAAAATACAATATCTTTTGTACAAAAATTGAAAGACGTTTGCATATAAGTATTTGGCTGAATTGCTTCAGAATGTTCTACTTTCCACTTTCTTACAAAAAGGCCCATCAAGAAGTTCTCAAAGCTATTACGATAAAGGACAAATTACACTCCCTTTGACTACAAGAACAGGTGTAAAAATGTTCAAACTTACCGTAGGCCCAGCTTTTAACCAAAATTACAAAGAAAAAAAAAATCTCAAATACAACAAATTCAAGGCAGTGTTCGGTGAAATGAACCAGTGCTGCTTAGAGAAATTTGTGGAAGTGGGTATGTTGGAATGCAGCAGGAAGCTCCATTCTGGCACAGTAAGTGTGAAGAGGAGAGTACAGAACAGACTGAACTGATAAAACAAAGTGAACAGACCGGGGAGTCTGAATCTGAACAACATGCCAGAAAAAGGCGCTGTGTGCAAAGGAAAAGGAAAAGAAAAAAAAGTCGAGGGTAAAGAAAAACACAAAGTATCTCGCCTCATAAATATCTACAAACACAAAGACGCTCCACGATATTTAAACATAAAGATTCAGCATCATGAGCAGATTCGTAACTTCTTATCCAGTGTTAAGGCACAGGCTATTGCATAGAAAATATAGGGATATAAACGATCTTTGGTACGTTTTTGCTTTTGGCAAAAAACACACGGCAGTAGATACAACAATCGTGAACTGTTAAAGGTGCTGCTGCTTTAAATGCTTATTGGTAAAACTCTAGCACGCTTCCAATTTCCATGCGTAGAACAGTTACAAAAAGCCGGTAAGAATAGAATCACGTTTCCCATTCCACGTACACTCGATTTGACCACTGACACCACCGGCACTAAAAATACTCAACGGCAGCCGTCACGTCACACTTTCAAAGTGCAAATTTACATTTTAAAGCAGTATCTTTTACATTTAGAGACACTTTTTCAGCCTGGAGGATTTGGTTTTTACAGCGGAACAGAAAACAGACCGTTTTAAAAATAAACTCGGCATAAATTGGAATAAATTGTGAGGAGGACCTTCAAGTAAACCTGGTTATGACGCATGATTTTTTTAACTCGTCAAAATGCTTAACAATGCACGAAAGACTAACTGTGATAAGTTTGGAAATGTTTTTTGTATTCTTAGAATGATATTGGAAACTCGAGACCTGGAATGGTAAAAAGTTCAGACGAGCATTAGATTTGCTTAGGCTAGTTTAGCTAACAGGATGTAAGTTAGCTTAGCTTAGTATTAACAGACAACCGCTTGTAGGTGTTAATAAATGTTACTTTTCAAAACAAATATCACTTGTTAACCTTAGAACTGTTCATAACAAGCTTTGTAACCCTTAAAGAAATGTAAAAAGTTTTAATGTGTAGCTAGCAAATGTAAAACCTTGTCATCTTCGGGTGGCGCTAACCGATAGCCTGAGTAACCCATCTCAGATTGTGGATTTTGATGCCACTTTAAGTTATTTTGCAATGACAAAAAAAAAAGATTTATGGCATATTTGTCACCAGAAGATGCTAAATGGAAAAGTTTACCTTTGTCTCTACGCATGCACAGCAAATCTAACTACCGGCCCTAGTTTTATAGACTACCAGTCCCATTATCAAAGGCCGAGTATCAACCCAAGACCAGGAAACAGCTCAACATTGAGATCGGAGGCCAACCTGGCTTTGACCAGGGGCACAAATAAAGTATTCCTCCAGTACCTGTAAAAGCTAACTAGCATGGTACGGCCTCTGTTCAATTAGAACTGGTTGGATACAAACTTTGACCTCACTAAAGCTCTGCTGGTTAAGATAAAGTAACAAAAAGACTAGATATTCGCTGTAAATCACTTCCATCTCCAGGTGACTAAACCCTGCAACTTATCATGAACATGACCCGTTTATTCAATATGAACCGAAACGGAAACTTTGGTGTTTTATATCAGTAATGCACGCTGCTCCAGTCACAGAGGAGACTTTTCTTATCACGTGGCAAACTCAAAGACAAGTTCAAAAGTTTTGTGTAAATAAAAAAGAAGGATACAATAATACGATTTTTGAGTTTTCAAAAAAAAAAAGAAAGAAAACAAGTCGGACTTATGTCAAGTTATTTGAGTCTGAACGCAAATCCAGACCAAGATAAATAATGGAGTCTAAATTATCTGTATTCCTATTAGTAAGACCAACCACAAATACGCCGAATGTCAATTTATGATCAAAATGCAACCCTGGCTAGCACTGCTAGAAGAGACCCGGCGATCCCACACAAAGACAAAGAAAAAAAGCTTTTGTATCCCCAGGTAGACATTTCTAGGTATAAAACATTCCCCATAACCTTTGAACGCAAACATTTAAACCAAGTCTAAACCTCCCAAACAACCTTAAAGCTGAAGTTGGTCCACAGACAGAAACACACACACAAACAGAGCATAATTCCTGGTAGATTCTGAGCCTTCGAAGACTGAACTGTAGATTTTGCTAAGAATTTTCATGATGCACAATTCCACACAGCTCGAACAATTCAACGGAATGTATTTTCTAACTTAAGTTATAATAATACTTTCCATTATTTCAAATTAAGGACAAATAAACGTGATCCAGCTACGAGGCTAACAAGTGCACTGAGTCAATGCCACTTTTTTTTTTTTCTTACTGTCTCCTGCATGGTCATGTTGGGATCATCAGATAATCAGCACAGAGCTCCTCACACGTTACAAATTAAAAACATTAAAGCTCTCTCCCAACAAGGCCACTGGTCCAGGTCCTAATGCCCCTACAGACCGAGTTAAAAGAATCCCCGGCGTGCTACGTCGGAGAGAAAACAGACTTCCAAATGACTCAGTGGTGGAATGTATCTTCTCTGGTCTGGTTAAAACCATATCAAGCACTGAGATGCCATTTTTGCAAAAACCAAAAAAATACAAAACGGGAGACATTCCAGTTTTTCCTTCTCCCAAATCTCTAAAATATCACTATTTAAAGCTTTATATGCAAAATATAAAGTACCTTTTTTGTATAGTTTATAAAATAATCTCCTTGAAAAATACAATTTTTTAAAAATTACGTTGCAAAGATCGTGCAAATTGAGTGTGAGGCGTTATAAGGCCGTGTACAGGGACTGTTCGGCTGCGGGTGCAGTCCTGTGTGCTGGCGGGTGGACACCGTGCTCACTGACCAGTCCCTCCTGGGGGCTCCTCCTGTATTTGACGCACTGGGGGGCGCCGACGGGGGGCAGGCTCAGCTGGACGCCGTCTGCCCGCGCGGCCAGGGGCGTGGAGGCCGTCCAGCCGGGGGGGCTCTGGCCGGGGGCCTCCCAGTCTGTGAGCGGAGGAGCGTCTTTGGTGTAGGGGAGGGTGTCCGTCTCCGTGGAAACTGAGGAGTAGACATTGGAGAGGCGCTCCCTGCTGCGCGCGGGCGCCGCCGGGCCTCCGCCGCCGTGCTCTTCGTCTGTTTGCGAGACGGGAGCCCGTGGGGTGCCCCTCGGGTCTTTGGCGGGGGAAAGCTTGGCGAGGGGCAGGAAGGGAGGGGCGGGGCTCAGCGGTGACCCGGTCTTGAGTCTGCCCAGGCTGAGGATGTTCCTGCGGGTGTCGGCTGGAAGCTTATCCAACTGCCGCCCGACCTGCACCGGGTTCGGGAACAGTGTGCTTTGACACGCCCTGTAGAAATATCTAAAAGATAAAGAGAGGAAAAAGAAAAGAAAAAAGAAGCAAGGTGTAAAGACACGCAGCGCTGGGCTCTCGGAATAAACACGAAAGGCATCTGGCATCAATAACAAACATAATTCACGACAGGCATAATCGTAAATATTTGAGTTGAGTTGAGGCTCGCATTTTCCCTCCCCCCCACTCTTCCCTACCGGGGCAGCAGGGCGGCTACGGGCGTGATGGTGCACAGCAAGTAGAAGAGAGGGTCCTGCAGCAGCCTCTGCATGGTCCAGTAGGGGTTGGAGGGGGAGTAGCAGGTGGGACAGGAAGCGTTGTAGAGCAGAGCCACGCTGAAGAATAAGGCCACGCTGAAGGCTATGGACAGCCAGTTGATCCAGGTCTGCCCGGGGGGAGTCAGAAGGGACCAAGGACAACATTAGCACTTCTAGTTAAATCTGAGGGACTTTATTCATACTTTACTGCTCGTTTACTATTTATACTGACATTCAAACTTCCTGATCAAACTTAATTTTCCCAGACATACAACTTTATGTCGTAATTCAAGATTTGGACGATTTACAATGTGTGTATAGAACAAGAAAGCTTATGTACAACGTATGAAAAAAATAAATAAAATAAATTGACATTCCTCGGCACGTCTAGCCAGAGGGGTCCAGCAGAATGAAAACAAGAAATGTGTGTGTGCGTTTTTGAGGTTTTGGAATCAGTCGCAGTCGATAGCGGTGAAAATCCACAAGCCGTTCCTAATCTGATTTCTTACCCAGGTTTTGGTCTCAATTCCCAGATGCAAAAGAATGGTGAATAAAGCGATGGTGGTGATGGGAGTTCCCCATGTAAACAGATCCACGTCTGAGTCAGCGTAGGCCTGGGGGGGTGGCGGTGCGGTGGGAGGAGATCGGTTGTTAAGAGGAGGAGGATGATGAGTAAATAACGACAGGATAAATACTGACTGGCTAAGTAGTGAAAACCGGACTCACAAAGTAAGGAATGAAGAAGCAAACGAGACTTTGGTAAAAGGAATCGATCATGTTCATCCAGAACATGTATGGCTTATATTCCTGCAAAAAAAAACAGAAGCACATATTTATAGTTGGGCAAGACAAGGCTGATATAAAAAAATAACAATAGTCATTTAATTTTGACTTTCCAGGGCTTTACAGTCTCGTGTGAGCCCTATAAACCTGCATTTTACTACTTGTCGAGTGGTGTGAAGAGATGTGTTGGGGAAAATAAATAAATAAATATTTCTCAGTTCATTTAAGGATGACCGAAGCACCAGAAAATGTCTAACAGTAATTTAATTTGAGTTAACTTAATCTAGTACTTTGCGTGTTTGCAGTCAAACACAGACGACAGTTAAAGCTGATGGTATCCACGTCATTATTTTAGAAATTTTTTTTTTCCCTTTTTTAAAAATGTTTTAATGAAAATCCAGTGACTTAATTGTAAACGGGAGGTTCCGGCTCATAGGGATGTTGAATCCACCCTTTCGAGTACCAAATTAAGACCCATTTCTGAGGTGTGAACTTTAAACCTGTGCTGGGCAAACAGGCCCAGAAATTGATACAGACTAAATCTACAGCTCCAAATCCAAGACCCACAATAAATGGAAATAGGAAGGCAGAGTTGTTCCACTTGTTCGAATTATTAGTGGACTAGTTAGTAGAAATTTTAGGGGAAAAAAAGTTCATATTCAAAAGTTTACTGAAACGTCCCAGCACATTTTATGAATAAAAGCTGAATCGAGGGAAAACCTCATAAGAACAGGTTTACATCAACAACTCTGTAAAGTTGCTTGATAAAGCGAAACCTTTTAAAGAGTGCGTAACAGTATCAGTTTTGATAAAAAGTTAACGCCGGCCATCGGGTTCGCCGATCTGACCTCGGAGTTCTGGCCGTTCACGTAGAGGTGAGGTAGTTGTTGGAGAGTCTCCGCGGACACGTCTTTGTCCAGCGTGCCCGTGATGAGCTGCGGGAATGCGGAGAACATCAGGTTGAAGAAGATGAGATACCACTGGTCGATCATGGCCGAGCCGGAGAACCCGCAGTAGAACTGATACCAGAAGATGAGCGCCACGAACATCTGCGGCGGATACACAAAGAGGAGAAAGATGAACACAGTTTCAACTCTTCTGCGTCGGAGACGAACAAGAGGCGGGAAGGACGTGGCTTACGGCGTTCTTGTAGAAAAAATATAGGATCATGTTGGCCAGCCGAGAATAACACCAGTGTCCGTGGACCAGCAGGAGCTTCTGAAGGTAGCGGAAACGCGGGAGGGCAAAGTCGCTCGCCATCACTGCCTGAAAGACACCCCCACACATACAGCACTCAGTCTCCTTTGCACTGTTCTCCCCCTCCCGCTCTCATCAGGATACAACGGTTTGAAATATGTGTCCCTGCTCTGTTTCTTTTTTTTTAATGAATCCTTAGTTGGTGCGATCTTTACAACACAATAACCCTTAAATGGGCTGTCTTCCTTCAGGGATTTGCCGCCTCCAGTGGGGGCCTGTAGGCCGCCCTGTGGTCTGACTTCCGCCTTAAAGCGTCCTGCCGACCGCTTTACGACTTCCCTTCGCCGTGGACGTTATCCCTCGACCCCGGAAATAACCGCAGAGCGCTTTTTGTCCGGCTCCCGCCGTGCGCCGTTGGCGTCCTCCGCGACGACCGCAGGGGGGAGGGGGAGATTGAGGTCAATAACGTGGCACTTTCCAGCTGTGAGCGCGGAGAAAACATGCACGGCGAGCAAATTTGATTAACGGCGATTCGTTTAGGGGTTCGGCCGAGGACGGGACGCGGAGGCTCTAACAGATGTGCGGCGCGGCGGCGAGCGCGCTGGAGCCTCCCCGGGAAGTTAATTGGGAATCTCCATCATGTGAGGTCACCGTTCTGGAACAGGATGCTACAGAAAAATGAGCACAAGGGAGGAAGGACGACTCGGGCTTTTTTTTTGTTAGATCCCCCCTCCCCAACCTGCCTATATGTCACAGACGCTACCTTTGGCTGTGACCTTAGAGCGGGTAGAAAGCTGGTGTGGATGCAGTCTAGCCTTAAGCACCCATAAAACGTGCTGCTTTCTCTGCAGGACACAGGTCCCCTGAGTCAGCAGGACACAGTCAATCCTATTTATAGTCGAAAACTGGCACTTAAGACTAATGAAAAGCTATTAACTACACTCAAGAATGCCAGCCTCTTCCCTTTTACCTTTATCTTCTCTCCCATAGCTCCTTACAGACTCTGCATCTCACAACACCGTGCTGCTTCTTTTCTTTTCAAGCTGTTGTAAATCCGACTTTGCATGTCAAGGGCCTGAACCAGCCCACCCCCCACTCCCGAAACAGTCCCTTACCTGCATGCCCTCCTGTCCCGAGATCCCCACGCCAACGTCCGCCACCTGGATCATGCTGACGTCGTTGGCACCGTCACCTGTGATTCAAACGGTGTGGTCAAAGCCCCTCAGAATCGCAAAGACATGTTTAGTACAACGTTTATCGTCCTTTGCCATTGAGATAAATATTCCTCCAGCATCAGGAAACAAGGGGAGCATCGGAGTTTTAAGAAGCTATTTCTGAATAGAAGTGGTGGGTAGAAGAAAGCTTTTGTTAAGGCTTTTAGTGCTATAATCACATGATTTACACAGCAATATTCAGATAGATAGATAGATAGATAGATAGATAGATAGATAGATAGATAGA